AAAGATGTGTAAGTCCTGTTAGCAATGGAAAGAGCTGTTGCCTCTTGGCCAGCTGTTGTCCTCTGATCAGAGCAGATCCAGATCCTCCTCAAGAGCACTGGAGTTTGTACCTCAACTTTTTCTTGCAGAACCCCCAGCTAATAGCACCTGAGGTCAAAGCAGCTAATGGCTGAAGCAGGCAGTCATTGCTTGTTCAGTAAGCACTGAGCAAAGGCATACTGTTGCATGCAACTTTTGGCTACCAGGAACTTTGGGACCGGGCAGGATTAGTAACAGTTATCCCAAATACAGAGGAGATCCAGTGCGAGGTCTGCAAAATGTCATGGAGAACCATGGGGAGGTGAACTGTATATATATTTAGGGAGTGTCTAGAAAGCGTGACATCCCCAGGCTTTTTTTTTTGGCTTTTAATGCTATCAGGGTTGATCCAGGATCCTTGTAGTCATGCAGTTCCTTAGCCAACCAGATAAAAATGGCTCAGCTGTGGCAAAATTGTTCCACCTTTCTTTGTATTTGCATATGCAAGACAAAACTCAGCTGGTGTCCATCTACCATTTAGCAGATCTATGTCTCTTAGAGGAAATACTTCCCTGTCTTCGGGGCACAAAGCCCATAGGAGAGCATACTGTTCTTCCTTCATGGAAGGCAGATCCACATAGCTGGTGAGGTGCCTAAAATCAGAGTTTAAGATTCAAAGGGGCTATTCAAATAATTCTTTTTAGTCCTTCTGCCTAAGTGAAGATGGTGCATTCCAGCCTGTTAATATGAGAGCAGAATTCCCAAAGGCTGGGGACACTGCACAAGCTTTGGACATGACTCTCACAAGGGGATGTCAGGAGACAGATTTGGCTACACAGAAGAGACTGTGGGCTGAGGCAGAAAATATTCATGCCCCACCCCCTGTGCCATTGTCACTCTGTTCCCTGCAACACTCCCAGCTCAGCTCAAGAACATCCCCATCTGATCCATCTGGATCCAAGAGTGAGAAAAGTTCATTTCAGACCCAGCTTGACATTCCCAGGTGGCAACTTAGCACTAACATCTCAATCTGTACGCGACATTTCAATCAGTGCAGAGTAACAAAAGCAGAACTATTAGCACTGGGAGATGTTCACTGGTGGTAATGATGGGGAAACTCAGAAACTGGAAATGAAAAGGGAAAAAAACCCCTTAACACCCTGAGAGGCAGCAGGGGAACATGGGCAGAGAATTTTTCCTCTACACTTAGGCCAGGATCCAATGTTTGGATTAATGGTGCCATTACCCAAGAAAGGACTTCAGATAATGCTCATTCTTAAAATGTTTTTGCTGGCAATTAAATGGTTGCAGTTATTGATCTCCATTGATCTGATGTCCTCAATTTGCATAATCTATTAAAGATGAATGATTCATGATATGTTTGCTGTGGGGCTGGGCAACGCTTTCAGGAAGGACCAGAGAGGTGAGGAATTCAGTACTGCCTCCTGATCTACCCCAGCCAGGAAATTAAGGAAGAGGCTGGAAGCATGCAGATTTCTTTGGTATCACCCAGATCCCTCTCCCAGGAAGGGATATTGGAGTGAGTACTGAATTGCTGGCTGCCTGTTTTGCTGCTAAAGTGTCATCTTTGAAATGCCTCTTTGCTCTTGTCCCAGGGCAGTCTGTGAACCCAGGTGATAATCTGAACCAAATGTGAAACAAATCCACCCATGCAGAGTACAAACTCTGTGTGCAGTCACTTCAGGATGTAAGATTTAGCTTCAGTCTACAAGAAACTCTCCCCATCTCAGTCTTCCCAGACAGAAAAAGGTATCACTAGCTCTTTCCAAACCAAAGTTGTGTGGCACTGGATTCTTGCCCTTTCTGAAGACTTCAGAGAAAATCCTCTTCCCTCCAGCTCATGACCAGCTTTCCTCAGTAAGATCTCTCAACTCGCACTGTTCTAAGAATATACCCCTCCAAAAGCCATCAAACCCTTAACAACATATAACTGCCTGAAATCTTGAAATGTAGTGAGATAGTTAAGTACAGATGTTGCTGACATCCCTTTATCTGTCTGTGAGCTTCCTAGAATTGAAAAGCTAGAAGTGCTGCAAAACAGGCAGCCACCTCCCCAACATGCAGAAAGACTTTCCACAAAGTCCTGGGCACCTATGCAAAGACACAGTTTAGCACCACAGTTACATACAGCACAGCCTTGCCTAGAACTGCCAATATCAAATACTCCCTTTCAGACAGTTATTCTATCTAACGCATCTTGGATGGTCCATTTATTACTCTCATCTAAAGCAAAACCCAAAAACATTCGTTTACTGTGGGAACAGACAGGTCACCCTTATTTCTCCCCATTAGGTATCTGCAAGGAATTTCCATGAATGAACTGACCCTGAGAGGCTAGCTGGGCACTAGACTAGGAAACATGCTCCCACTGTCCTTCATATAGAACAGACAATGTAGAAATTTTCAACGTCCTTGTGAAGTATCAGAGAGAGAAAGCTCTTAAGAGCTGCCTGAGAACACCATCTCACCTCTGCCTTCACACACAGGTCAGTGGGCCAGCTACATCTTACCTTGATGTTGCATGGCCGTCATAGCTAAACTGCCGTAGATCCCTGACAGTTTCTTGACAGTATCTTTGGACACCAATCAGATTTCCTAGAAGCAAAGATCCAAGCTTGAATATACCAAGATAAGGCGAGTACACGCAGTTGAACACCAAGTCAAGAATTCTGTTATTCAGAGATGTTCTACTTCATTATTTCTATTGAAGGCAAACAGCCCAGGCAGAGTATAAATCCATACAGGGCTAAGTAAAACCAGATAACCTCAGTAGCTTTCTTCAGTAGTTTCCACAGATCTTTGAGTTTGGAAGGTACTCAGTAGCTAACACCTAAGAGGTGAGAGGAGGTGAACCTCAAGACTTTGGCACTAGCAACAGGAGTACTTTAAAAGCACAAGGTTGTCCACAGAAGTCTTGAATCCTTTGAGAACAAAGGTTAAGATCCTTCTTTAAGCACCATCAGAAGTTACATCTTTTGGAATAGCCATGTATGAAAGAAGTGAGGTGTCTTCAAACCAGGTTCTGAGTTCTGGGGACTCGGATCAACTGTTTGGGAGCAAAGTCCCTTCCAACTCAACTATCTAGCCCAGAAGTTACCCAAAAGAGAGGCAGTGATATGGGAAATAAAACACAATGGACTTTTCATGTATGGCTTGAAACTTGCTTATTAGCAGACTACTAAAGGGGAGGATTTACCTACTAGATGGATCGTAAAATTACAGCAAAGGTAAAGAAAACTTCTCTTAATTGAATCTCGGCAGTTTTAACTAAATAGACCTTGCTTGCCAGCCCACTGCAATCAGTGAGATCTAAAAAGAACAGTAAAGGTAAAAGACAAGCCCAAGAAAAAAGGGGCAAAAAAAGCACTTCACAAACCTCTACTGTTGACTGAAGTGGGAGTACGTGTCCCCTTCTCTTCCTGTGAGGAGGTTTCTGAGTGCTTCTGTGCTATAGTTAGCACATATTGACAGGAAAAGGTAACTTTGGAAAACATCACCACCCACCAAAACACCTACCATGTCCTGTATAGAAAATGTTTCCTTCTCTCTGGGAAATAAATTTTTCCCTAGAACAAGTATCATCCAGGATGAGAAATCCTGACAACAACTCACGACGTGTCAAACAAAGGTGCCAAAGAAGCACAAACCCTATCAATCTCACTTTTGTCCAGACCCTCCTCTCTGGCATGGGGTCAGATTTTTTTTTCAGTTCAATTTTTTTAATTCATACATGAATGTATGCAAAAAAAAATTAGAATTACTGACAGAAAGGCTACTTGCTATGTCTGAAATACATACAAAAATAGTACTTAAACAGCATCTGATTTCTATGAAAGTTTTCAAGAAAGTTGTGATGCTAAGCACAGAGAAATCACTTGCTACACACCTGGATCCAAATTTTTCTGAAATTATAAACAATCTTTTGAGAAATTCAGCCTCTTTCAAGGTGAAAAGATATTATTT